CGCCCTGATTCAAAATATTAATTGGTGGACTTACTCGTTTAGTGTGTCATTTAGCCTACTTCACTCTGGTCGATTTCCAGGCCATTTCGTTGAACTCGGGCTATATTGTTTATCATATAATATTACCCACTATCAATAACGCAAAGGTAGGTACTGTAGCTGTGACTCCGGGCGAACTTGTGAAAGACCTAAATTTCAACAAAATTCGCCGATAAAATATTTCCAAACGCTTCTAAAGCCGCGGCCATATATATGTATGTTTATTCAGTCTTGCTTACTTGTAAAATCCTTTCCCTCCGAACTCGTGAATCGATCTGCTTTCGAACTATACTGTTAAAATTTGAGGTTTTCAAACTTCGTAACCGTACTACTCGCTAAAATATTTCTCAACCCTCCTGATTTATTAACGTGAGCCTGGGACATCTGTAGGTATAGGTATACATGTAGGTAAAACTACAGCGAAAGCTGATTTCCAAGGGGAGCGTAGATTTAAATAGTTAAAAATTACAATTAATACAAATTACAGTCATGCATGCATTACATTATTGTAAACAACAATTACGACACATTCACAAATACAACTAGAAGCGGAAGTGTTAATTCTTGTATTTTGGCTGTAATATTGGTTCCCCGAGTTACTATGACCGCACTATTACGCTCGACTGATTATGCCCGACTGATTATGCCCGACTGATTATGCCCGACTGATCATGCCCGACTAATTATGCCAGGCTGATCATGCCAGACTGATTATGCCCGACTGATTATTGGCCCGCACGATTACGCCCAATGATTATGCCCGCACGAATATGCCCGACTGATTATACCCCAGTCTGTTTCAATTGTTTAACATGCAGATTAATTGTTTAATATAACACGCAATGGCTTTAAGCCCCTATTGACTAAACTAATTATATTAAATAAATAAATAAATAAACACTATTCGATCCAATTGTCTAAAACCCTGTTTAATTGTTTAACAGCCAGTGGCTTTCAGCGCGCATTAATGAAACACTGTCCGATTTAATGTGTTTTTGTTCCTATCCACACCTGATAGTTAATTCGCGGCGAGTATATTTTAAATGCGGACAAAATGTTATCGTGTGAGATATTTCATAAATTTCCGGACTGCGCGGAAGCAGAAACATTGCTCACGCTTCTCTCGTATTCTCTCAACATTCTCCGCGTGCATTATCGCATCATGAATGCCGATCTAACGTTCGAAGTCTGGTTCAATTGTTTAACATGCAGTTTAATTGTTTAACACGCAATGGCTTTAAGCCCGTATTGACTAAACACTGTTCGATACAATAGCAGCTAATGAGATTCTTTTGTAAAAGTTCCTACAACATGGCCGCAATTACGTCAAATGCAACCCATGCAAGAATAGATTCCTTTCTTTATACTAATTATACATAGGCGATGCAAACGTCGAGAGAAAACTAACTGAGGATCATCAAACTGTTTTATTTTTCAAAATTAGTCACCTTCTTTGTATACTTATTTTATCGTTAAAAGGTTATCGTTTCGACACTAAAGTGATCAAACATGTTCACGCTGAGTCTGGACCTGATTGCATGTTTCAATGCATGCTTCAAGAGATTTCATGCCGCATATCTGCTAACTTCAGGAAAACTTGTGGAAGACAAGAAAATTGTGAGTTACTTGAAATTGTTGATTCAGAAGAACCAGCAGAGAGTTTAAAGAACAATGAAAATTTTGATCACCATACTACTTCAACCCAAAAGAGTAAATACAGTCAGAATATGCTTACAAGGGTTTCTGTAGATGGAAATTTCAAGCACAAGATTATATACAATTTTCACATCTAACGAGGAGCAGCTGCGAAAAATGCAACTATCGCGGTCCTCTGGGAGGAATCGAACCTGCTATTCCGGAATGGTTTAAAATTGTATATAACAACTTTTCGCTCGAAAATTCCAACTCCAGAAGCCCTTTATTTTGTATTTTCAAACTTTGTATTTTCAAACTATGTATCTGTTAGTATATTCCATCAATGCCGTAGAATAATCATAAGGTAAGCAAGAGTGTATGACGCCATTGTGTATACAAGATTCAGCACATAGTCATAGAGATCATAAGAATTTTAGGAACGGTTCAATTGAAGTTGGGCAATGGGAGCAAATTTAAATTATGCACGGATATAAAACCAAACCGTAAATCGCCTTTTGGCTCCAATTCAAGTATTCAATCCAGGTTTTATCAATAGGACGCACTGTTTTACATTTATTTCTGCCAAAATTTACGAGTTTCCGTTTAATTTAATTACGGAGGTTCCCCACAATAGCGTGCGGGATGCTCGCGGGACCAGTGCGTGAACTATCCCACGAAACAGCATGATCAAAACAAAAATTGACCGAGCTTTTTTTATTGAAAAAACTATTTCTGAAAGGTTTCTAATGGAAAGAAAATGTTGAATGATACTTCGTTTTGAGTGCCAAATCACTTGCGAGTCTATACAGCAATTCTACATATGATTCGAATATCACTAGACGAAAAATAGTTACGAAACAATGTGTCAATGTTTTTTAAATTTTTAAAAATATACACTGTCAATTGTAAGACATTTGCAAAATTGCACACAAATGTTTAAAAAGTTGTTTACTTCTCAAGAAAACGTTGACGTTTTTAGTCGTGTTTCTACAAGATTAACGTGATTATATGTAAACAGAAAATATTTCAGTTTCATAGCCTAATTGTTTATTTTTAGCAAAAAATACAAAACCAAACATGAAACAAAAAGACACGTCCACCTGTTGAAAAGCTCTTACAGCTCATAGATTGAGTAAACGGCAGGGTTCAATTGGTTTCAACCTTAAAGAGGTTTTGTTGTTTTCATCGATTTAATTGTTCACAATAATCCTTGGCTGCCCATGGCATGCAGTCAAATAAATCGAAAAGTTGACAAAAACAAAACAGTAAAAACAACATTGCCGCTCAATTTTGCTGAATGAACTCGTTCTGCTCTCTCATACAATCTTTTACTAGTCAGCAACGCTTTTCAATAAGGGGAATTTCTCGTGTTACACGAGGCTATTTTCTAACTTTATTTGCATTTTACTCATTGGTTTCATCGGTGACCTATCTTCAAATTTTGACCACGAATTTATTTTGCGGTAGATCTAAGTCTTTCGTGTGGAAATTTCGCAATAAAATCTTCGCTTTTAAAAAAATCACACACTACAATCACACACTTAACTTTCACTACAGTTGCAAAGAATCATTCCCTATTGATCCCCGAGCCGACGGCGCGAAACGCCGTGCTAGGGTACTAATCCCCCCCGGCTATTTACACCCGGGGAAACGAAAGCATTAGCAAAGTCTAAAGTTCATCAATTATCGCGGGCGTGAGTGACCAACGGTGTTGGGTGGGTGGTCATCCTCACTGATCTCAAATGGCGGACTGTCATGAATAGAGGACACTGATTGGTCCAATTTAAAGTTTGCATTATAACGACTGCATGACGACAGCGAAATAGCAAACATTTCTTGATTTTATTTTTATATTTTTATGATATTGAATTTTTTAAATAAAAAAGAAAGCACTGTTATTTGCAAGCGAGAATTTTAAAAGGCAGTTTAGTTTTATAAAGAACACTATAGTGACTTTAAAAGTTTTGAGAAGCGTTTGTGGTTGAATTTTACCTTAACTTGAGGCTTATATTACGTATAATAACATACCTAACATATATATGTTGGGAAATTAATAATTTTGTAATTAAAAGTGATATTTTTAGGCGATTTTTCATTTGAAAGAATATTCTTAAAAATTATCGGAAAATATAATGGTTTTGTCAGCAAGGCGAGGGTTTCTGCATGCATGTATTATCTAGTATATGAAATAAAAAAATAGGACACCAACATCGTTTTTGAGATAGCGGCACATTTATGGGTTAAATTGGAAGGCTTTATGCTGTCGCCATGTTGCCATTGGAACACTGCCGTTGTCAAAATCTAGTTCGAAATATTCCTTAGGTGACCAATATTGCCACCAAGTCGAAAAGAATTCGCGTTCGGCACGAATAAGTCTGTTTTACGGAATTATTGCGTAAACAAGAATAACTGTAGGGAGCCTCCTTAATAACGTGGGAAATGATAAAAATTTTGACGTGCTGAAGTCATAAAGAAAACACCGCTCTTCAGCATCGAGAGTAAGTACTATAAAACATTTCTATTGTTCAATAAAACATATTCTATTGTTGAAATGTTGACCTTCTGAGGCATGCGGATTTGCGAAGGTTTTACATGGTGAAGTGCGTGTAGTAGCCAAACACGTGTGCGATTTTTTATTCATTAGTACTTCGAACCGTGTAATTTCCTATACTAATTGTCTATAGCTAATTTTGTCCTTATTTAATATATATTAAAGCAGATATGTAGTTCGCGCAAAAAACTGCGCATGGAAATTTAGTACTGGTAGGGTTATTATTATTATTATTATTATTATTATTATTATTATTATTATTATTATTATTATTATTATTATTATTATTATTATTATTATTATTATTATTATTATTATTATTATTATTATTATTATTATTATTATTATTATTATTATTATTATTATTATTATTATTATTATTATTATTATCCTAATAATCAATAAATAAAGTTTCCATTATTATTATTATTAATCAAAATTTTTACACACGGTAGCCTATTCAGTAACTATTAAAAACTAACTTTATATTTACAAAAGGTACTGGTTTTCAAAGGGCCGTGTAATAAAAACGAAATCCTATTTACCATGATACAATACTAAATTAAAGTATAATTAATGTATAATCAAATGATCCAATCACTTAAGCGGTTTTATCAAGTCGCCGTTTGAAAGCGTTAACTGATAGATCACAGAAATCTTCAGTTATATCATTAGATAATTCGTTCCAGGACTTTGCCGCTCTATATGAGAAGCTTCTTTTTAAAGAATTAGTCCTTGGTTTTGGGAGTGTCAATTTGGTGTTATTACTTCTTAGACTGTAATTATCGTTATTGCACTCAGTAAATAATTGCTGTAAATAATCCGGTCCTTGCCCGGTTAAAACTTTGAATGTCATAACAGTTTCCCTATTTTTTAAGTCATCTTCAATTGGTTTCCAATTAAGGTCTTTCAAAATTTGGGAGGAACGAATATCGTATGTACTTGAAGTAATTACACGCGCAGCTCTCCTTTGTAGCCTAATTTTGAAAGTTTATTAATTATAGTACAAGATCCATCGTTCCATATTGTAGAGCAGTAATTAAAGTGAGGCAAAACAAATACATTATACATTTTAATTAATGTGTGTCTAGGAACGAAAGGTCTAGCTCTTTTTAGCAGAGCTATACTATTTGAATTTTGAACTTCATTGTGTTTGTCCCACTTCAACTGCTCATTGAAGACCATACCTAGAGACTTTTTATAGTATACACGTTTTATATGTCTGTGTCCTAGTTTCAATACTGGGCTATTATGGACACAGGCAATACGTGATCTTGAGCCGATGAGCATGAACTCGGTTTTCTCATCGTTTAAAGTAAGTTTATTTGCTGTTAGCCATCGGTGGACATTCTCAAGCTCTTCATTAAGTTTGGTTTCAATTTCACTCGAGCTTTGTCCAACACAGGTTAGATTTGTATCGTCAGCAAACATTGAAGGTTTTGACATTTTCAAACTATTTGGGAGATCATTAATATAAAGAAGAAAAAGGATGGGACCAACATTCGATCCCTGTGGAACCCCACAGTTAATATCATTTGCAGACGATTTCTTACCATTAATTGAACAAACCTGCTTTCTGTCTTTGAGGTACGATTTAAACCATTCAAGGCTTTTCCCTTGGATGCCATATTTTTCTAATTTAGCTAATAGAATTGAATGATCAACAGTATCAAATGCCTTTTTAAGATCCAAGAATAGGACTCCAGTAAAGAGGCCCCTATTCATATTATGCAACCATTCATTTGTAGAACTAAGCAGAGTAGTTTCCGTGGAATGTTGAAAACGGAAACCCGACTGCTGGTCCAGAAGAACGTTGTTTATTGTCGTAAAGGATTTTAGCTGTTGATATATATACCAATTTCTCAAATACCTTAGCAACAACGGAGATTACAGAAATTGGTCTATAATTTCCACAGTCATTCCTATTACCGTCCTTGAAAACTGGTGTTACTTTTGCTAACTTTTAGTAGTCAGGGAATATAGCGGTCCGTAATGACAGGTTGAAAATATCAACCAATGGCCCAGCAATATTGTGTGTTCCGTCTTTTAATAACAGTCTTGCAATAAATCCATCCAGTCCTGAAGATTTTTTTGACTGAATGAGATTTAGCGCATCAATTACTTCATCTATAGTAATGAAGTTAAAGTTAAATATGTCATCATGCGTAACAGTCATAAAGCTTAGCGGATCAATGTCACCGTCCTTAATTCCTTCGGACAATTTGCTACCTATAGTTGAAAAATATTTATTAAAACCGGCAGCAATTTTCTCGTCGTTTATTACAGTTTCGCCCTCAAAATTAATTTCCCTTATTTGACTAGTCTTGGATTTTTTATTCAGAAGCTCATTAATAGATTGCCAGCTTTCCTTGCTATTGTTAGAATTATTTAATTTGGACTTAAAGTAACTCTCTTTTGAAGTTCTAATCAGATTAGTTACTTTGTTTTTACCTTTTTTGTAGGCCGTTTCATAGTAGACAGATTGCAATCGGATGGCTTGCCTTTTTAAATAATCTCTGTGATAACTCAGTCGGCTAATTTCGCTAGTAATCCACGGTTTAAATTCACTTTTCACACGCCTTTGTTCAATTGGCGCATGTTTGTCCGCGATAGTAAGAAATTTGATTTTAAAATCACTCCAAAGTTCATTCGGATCGTTTGAAGCATTCGGATACGAATTAAAAATTTCATTCATATTATGATTGAACGCATTCACATTGTATCTCTTGTATTGCCTAGATAGGACAATTTTAGGTAATTCTCTTGGGAGACTAATCTTGCGGCATATATATATATACAAGATTGTGGTCACTGATCCCACGCGGTATGACTCCTGTTTCTAATGTTTTATTATCCCCCATATAGGTAAAGATAACATCAACGAAACTAGATGTTATTGGGGTAACTCTCGTTGGTATTTTAATATGCTGCTGTAATTTGCATGTGACTTGGCTTTTTGGCATTTCTAAAAAGTTACAGTTGAGATCACCAGTTATAATGATTTCCATATTTTCGTCTTCAACTAGCTTTAGGAAATTTTCAAATTTATGAAATAAATCGTGGCGAGAGTTAGGTGGTCTATACCATGTTGCAATTAATAAAGGTTTACTTTTTGGCTTTCTCACCTCGATACAAAGCAGCTCAATGGAGTCAGGAACTAAATCTTGCCTAATAATATAAGGTATATTTTTACGAATAAACATTGCAACCCCCGCCACCATTTCGATTCCGATCCAATCTAATAATATCATAGCCGGTATCTCAACTTTATAGTCACATACACTTTTATCAAGTCTAGTTTCATTGACAGTTAGGATGTCAAAGCATTTGCTTTGCATATATACTAAAAGTTCATGATAATGTTTTACGAGACTGGCTATATTAATCTGGCCTATTTTAAAGCCTTTAAGTTTAGAAAAAGGAGAGCTTGCGCTGGACTGTGACGCTGCGCTATTAGTGCTATTTTTAATTTCTTCCGCATTGGTTGGAACATTAGTAATCAATTGTCAATTACAATGTTTAAGATACTCGATGAAGTTTCCTGCTAATTTTGTAAAGCCTTGCTTATTCAGGTGTAGACCATACGGATTCAGATGATTTGCTTTAATATTCTTATGTGTTATGAATCCCCAATTGTTATTGTGACATACCTGTTTCAATCTGGCATTCAAATTTTCTATTTTGGGGCTTTGGGCATAAGGCTTGAATCGTCGAATCGCGATGTTATTTCTGAGATAACCACTTTTGTTTCCGGCGAGTTCTCCTCTATCCGTTTTCCAAGTGAAGATATCGATACTGCTATCTCTTTAGGAATTGAATGTTTTAAATCATTAGTACCAACATGTAAAATTACACATTTAGGATTTTTCTCGACCGTCGGTTTAGCATGTTGCATATCGCCGACATTAGCGCCGGAGAACGTTTTCACCATAACGTTATGTTTCAAGCTCTTCCGTAATTTAGAAGGATTAATTAACTTTATCATCGAATTACCAAGTATGGCGACATCAATCGGATTACGACGTTGGTTTGGTGGATTTTCAGACTGATTTGGAGAACCCGTTGGTTTGTCTATTGCATTTTCTTTTAAGTTATTGAGGACATCAGAGCGGTTGCTAGTTTCAGGTTTGTCTTCAACATCAATCGCAATCGGATTACAACGTTGGTTACAATCTATAGCGTTTTTTTTTTGTAAATAAACTAGATTTATTTGTTTTGTCCGGTAATTTGACTCGATCTTGAACTTGTTTCTCGAGGTCTTTCATCACAACTGTTGTTACAACATGGGAACTTATATTTTGATTGAAATCTTCAAAGCGGTTACTAGTTTCCGGTTTGCCTTCATCCCGAAATAATTCAGTTGATTGTCTGGTTTGATGTTTGGGTTTCATCCACGCATTGCTATTGTTGACACGATCGATGTTGTTAGTTGAATCTTCTATTTTATTATCACTTGCTTTCTTCTCAGTATAGTGCCATTGATTAAAGTCATTTTGAATTAGCTTTATTTGCAGAGATTAAACTCGATTTTTCTTCTTCAAGTAGCTTCTTCGATTGGCTTAGTTGCGATATTGTTTTATGCATGCTGTTATTGTTTTCCCGAAGCTCTTCGTTTTTTCTAGACAGTTCACCCTTTTCTTCCTTCAACTCGCTGATAATTCCTTCAAGCGTTACAATGGAGTATGGTTTATTTTCTTTCACTACATTTATTTCAAGAGCTAGATCATCTAGTTTTTTGTAACGTCCTTACGGAATCTCTCAAAATGTGATTTTAATATAATGATTTCAGGGTTACAACTAAAACAGCCGTTTGAGTGAGCACCACCAGTTCCCCGGGGATTAAGTGTATCTTTTGTTTCGGTTAATCTGACATGTAAATTTTCTTCAGACGATACAGAAGACTGCTCGTATGGCTTTTCGTACGTGGACAATGGCACGTTTCTCCCAAGTTTTTCGCTTGAAACGCCAACCCAGATGTAATATCCCCTGTTCGATTTTCGGAAAATTCATCAGTCGCTATCGTTTAATTTATCCGCAAGGTCATCAGTTAGCAGGCTTTCTACGTTTCTTTCTTGATCGATAGCTTTGTCATCGTCACATCGGGAATTCGTCTTATTTAGTTGCATAAAGTTGTACACTCGTTCTATAACTTCTTTCCCCTTATCGCCACCGAATTGAATGTTTGTACTTTTCTTTTGCCATGTAACTGTAAATTCTTTACTTTCGAAGCACCACTTTCCGCCGCTTGGCGACTTCCACGAGGTATTATCGGCGGTATCTTCGTTAATCTCGGTCAATACAAACGCTTTCAAGTCTTCTATAGTGCCTTTCCATTTCAATTTATCGCCTTTCGTGTCAAAGAATTTGTACAAAAGGTTTAATAAGGGGGTCCACTACTAAAAAATATTTTGCTCTTTCTTTTCATAGTATGAAACTGATCTTTTCGTATGTTGTTAGGATATATCCCCTGACATAAAAAATGTATGATTGCAAAGTCTTGTTGCCATGGTTACCAAAATATGCCACGCCCGATGGTGAAATTGAACCCATTTTGTAAACATGATTACTACATAACCATTGATGATAAAATTATGAAATAACTTTTATTTACTCAACCACAACAAGGTCCAGGAGGTGAACTAAAACATTTGAGATTGAAGCAATTTTAAAAGTTCCACAGATGAAACAATGGAAAAGCATGCGGCTGTTTGCAAGAAAGTAGACACTGCTCTAAAACTATGAAACAGAATTTATTTCTTTTAGTTCAACTAGAGATGATTATGCTGAGTCTATCCTGAAACTGTTCAACTAGAGATGATTATGCTGAATCCACCCATAGCTTCAATACTTCTTGAGATATCCTGCATACAATATCGGAAATTGTTGATTTTCGGCATTTTGAGAAAAATGCATTTAAAGTCTAATATTTAGTTTATCATCAACACAATCGGGTCTAAATTGTCATATGGCCTTATCATTTTATTATTTACAATGTCAGAAATCTCCTGCTTTATATGTGATGCCCTCTGTTTCCTTGTTCTTGTCATCCTTCTTCTTTTTCTGGCCACGGAGGATTTTTCTTCTTTTCCTTATTGCAGGAGTGTTCCGATGTTCTGCCTTCTTTACTCGTTGCTTGTCGGCTTTAATTAAGCATGTTTTGTTCAAAATACTGTCCTGGTACTAATCCTAGCTGACTAAGATTCTTCACTGCTGCTTTAGTACCAATATTAAAATGAGCCACTGCATCATATTCTCCAAAATTCAGGACCTCGGCTCCAACAAAAACTGTTTTCGGCAACCGGTTCCAGATCATCCCGTTCAAGGACTCGTTTTGGTTCTGTGTTTTGCTCTCCAAACACCTTGTCAAGAGATCATTATTGCTAAGCCTGTTATAAATAAGCTTAATTAAGGCAATAATGTTGTCAGGAAGACCAGGTCCTGGTTTATACAGATGCGTATTATTGGTCACATCTTGTTTGTATCGACACCAGCTCTCAGGACCATCTGGACAATGGGTGTACAGGTTCCGTCGCTTGGAAGAAATACAATGAAACAGACTGGCAAGTATTGAGAATTTCATGGCAGCTAAATTTCCAGAATTACTTCTTATGGCAATTCCATAGTAGTTCTGAAGTTTATCGATCACAGCATCGGTTAGCTTTCCTTTCCCTCCAATTCCTTTATTTTCTTTCTTCAGCTTCCTCAGTGCTGTGGCGACTCTCTTCTGAACGTGAACAACACATTCTTTCTTTTCTACATGAACTCCTTCATAGCAGTTCTCCACCTCATTGTAAGCCTTGCTGCCACCATCGCCAAAGTACTCGGTGTATTGCAGCTTACAGGATTCCTCACTTCTTTCGAAGATTCTCTTGATCCCAGTAGGTTCCATCGACGGTGCAGATCCAACATAGTTAATTTTACACTTGCCAGTGTGCTTTTCCAGAAGATCTGCTTTCTTGACATCATCAGATTCTCTTTCAATTGCTTAACACCCATGGCAAACTTTGTGAGGACCTCTATGTCTAAGCATTTGCCAGTCTCAATGGACAAGGTTGTAACACAGCCATTCAATGAGGAGTGACCACGTCTTTGCCATGTACCGTCGCACGAGACATCACATTTCACAATCTGGCTACTGTCGTCACCATCATGCAATTCAGTTGCAGCATCTTCCATGGTTTCATTTGCTACAGCCTTTGCCGCTTTTGAAAGGGCAGCATTACAAGCACTGTAGGCCTTTGAATGCAAGGGAGGGGGCATGTTTATGGAAGCACAAAACCGTTTCATGGATGAATGTCCTTGTCCCATACTTCTCATGGCATAAACCAATGGCTTGTTAATGTCAAAAGAATGCTGGACTTTCTTGGAGGTGTGAAAGGTATAAACCCATCCACATGTTTTACAACGTACACAAAGATGGGAAGCACTACCTTTTTGTTCACGTGGGTTGTCTTCCAACACAAGCTGAAGAACCACATTCTTTATATACACATCACCTGCTGAAATACATCGCTCAGCAGCTTCATATCAACAAAACGGTACCCTGTTACCGTAGATTTGACTGGGGAATATTCATGTTGAGTATTCTGATTGCCAATTTTGCGTGCGGAAGCAGAAGTATTTTGACACGACTCAGTCGATTGTCCAGCAGAATCTGTTTCGGTTTCACTCCCAAGACACGCTTTCTTCGCAGGATTATTAAACCTGTTGCCCTGAAATTTCCGTTTCCTTGTCCTTGGACCTTGTCTTGGCATTATGAATATACAATATCAAGCACAATATGGAAAACAACAAAGCTTGAACACAATATAATCGCTACGACGTTTGAGAATTCTGACACAACAGAGTTGGAAAGCACACAAATGTTAAAACAGTGCCCCCGTTTCCTTAAAGAAGCTTTCAGCGGTTGTCTATTCAAGGCAGAGGGTGTACGTCATGTAACATATTCAAAATGGTTTTCATTGGTGGCTTACACAGGGTGTTTCAAACCAAAACAACCGTTGCTAGGGCGTTTCTAAGGCAGGAAATGACCATGCGCTTAGGAATTTACTCTTGTTTCGTGGTTTAAAACTTTATTTAGCCACTAAAACCTTTCTGAGGTGATAAAGGAAGGTTCAAAGTATATAAATCGACCGTTTCCAAAAATTCGAAAATTTCAATATTAAAGCCGAAATTTTAGTAGTGGACCATCTGAATTCAGTCATATTAGAGGTATACTAAATCTAAAATTTGCTATTTCAATCAGCTTATCGGAGCTCTCAAATACACGTCTGACCCCTGTAGCCATCAGTGTCGTTTCCAGGACTTTGCCTTTTATTGAGGTAAGATTTACCTGATTTATTTCAACTCAACCTTTTTACGTAATCTTGCGACACCTGCGACGCGCCACCATGGTTGCTGCCGAGCAAAATGTTTTGAAAATTTGAAGTCTCCTGACCGTCGGAAATTGCATGTTTGGAGTCTTTCCTACCCAATATTTCAATATTTTAGCGTTGGCTAACAATGAAGATAAGTATTGCTACTTACAGTCTAAAAGAAACAGAGTCTCCAGATAGTCAGAAAGAGTATTTGGCCATTACCTCCCCGATATGACACGTCTCTACGTATGTAGTTTGTTCGATTATTAACTCTAATTCTGATTCAGTGAATTGAGATTTACCTGAAAATCTACTGGAAATCTATCTGATATTGCTCATGAGCAATTATTAGAGGGTGTTGAACCCCTTATCCCCCGGTCGCTACGGTCCTGGTATTTCCATTGTTGCCAACGGTAATGTCAAAAATAACTGAACAACATATAACAATTATACCATAATTTCGAGTCGTAGTATGAGCTGTCAGCAATATATGACGAGAGCGAATGGTATAATTACACGGGCCGATAAGGCCAGTGTCTTAATTGAATTAATGGGGCCTGTGCGCGTGATCTTGGTCGGCGCTTCTCTACGTTTTTCTTTCCAAATAAACGAATATACGAGAAAGTGCAACTTGATTCCACTTTGAGCTACGCTACAGCATTGCAGCGACTTATACTATTCTTTTATATATTATTTATTTAAAATATTCATGACTTCAGATTGGCAAACAGCCAACTGTGAAATCGTCATATTAACTCAATCTCTGACCGAATATAGAGCTTTGAGATAATATTCAACGAAGTGACGTCAAAATGTTGACATACATAAAATGCCATATTCGACCTTAGAACGTCAAAATGTTCATACAAAAGATCATATTATTCATTCTTTTGACGTCATGCAGTAGAAACACGAATATGAAATGAGGAAACAAGTCGAAAGCAATATGGCGCCGTGATCGGCTTCGTTCGAAGGTTTAAAAGAAAACAACTTTTAAAATATAAGGACAAAATATCAACCTCAGGCTCCGGTTGACAAGGCCGGCGAGAGCCAACCACCGGCCCCAGGACGAAATGATGAGTTTGTGAACAGGGGCCCCTGTCCCTCTCCACTCTCCCGCTGGCGCATGACCACGCCAAGACTATTTCTAATCGCAATCAACGAAATCGCCGCATAACTGATAAAAACGCAATGTGAACGATGTTCAGCTAACTCGTTTTTTTTTCTGAGAAAACGTATATTTCACTTTTGGTACGTTTTACGATCGATTACGACGATCAGCGGATAGGGTGCAAGTAGGCGTATTTCGTTCAGGACAAACATAAAGCGATGATAAACAATACGAACATTTTACCGAGATTTTAGGACCCCTCTGAGCACTCCGGTTCCGGGTATTTTTCCCCCTGCCCCCTCCCCCCTCGCCGGCCTTGCCGGTTGATAACACAAACTTCGGCCTTCACAATTGTTCATGTCATACTCAACCACATTCAGTAATCGTAAAACATAATCTGGCTTTGTGTCAAAATGCGAGCCCGCTGTTGACGTTGCTGCCCACGTTGTTCACACTTGTCAACAATATTGAACAATATTGTTGAGCCTAAATCGGGTGTAACAATATTGTTCAATATTGTTGACAGCTATGAACAATGTGGGCAGCAAAACATTGTGCAATCCTGTTTTCATCAGTATTGCATCAACCTGAGCGGTTTTACGCGTATATAAGGCGTAAAATACCATACGATGTCATGTATGAATAATTTACATTGTTTTCATTTTGGGAATCACTAAATTAAGGTCAGCTGCATGCAATCCGCCCTCTTGTCACTTATTCTTATATAGAAAATAAAATAAAATAGGATTTCGTTTGCATTAAAAGCTTTGTATTTAGTTTGTAATCATAAAAGTCGAACAGCGAAAGAAGTGTCATAAAACATCGATGAAATTTCCATCTGCTAAAGATCATTGTGCATTAAACTGACCGGTATACGTATTTTCCTATAACCGTCATAAAGTTCACACCTCGATTGAACATATTTGATTTACGGCTATGACAAATTTAATTAAAAGAACTATATACCGTAAACTGTCAGCATTTATAGCTTAAATATTAACATATGAATGTAATTAAGAAGTTATTATTAAATAACATTACAAACAACACGCATTTATCTTAAATGCAAATACGCGGGAAGATATTGCAACGTTTAACACACAACCAAAGATGACGCATTCCCTAAAGTCGTGCCTGATATTTTTCTGTGTCTTGAATGAATGTATTGCAAACATGTCCCCGCACAATGCGCTGTATTACCGCTACCGTGGTAAATATTTGTCCAACAGCGTGATTCGTGCAAAGCTTGCAATGACCGAGAATGAATGTGCTATATATTGTTCAAGAGATAAAGAGTGTTTGTCAGTAAATTACAAAACAACAGGAGAAAATCTTGGTCTGTGTGAGCTCAATAATATGGCCCTTTCCGAGGCAGGCACTAATTCTGTTCTTAATGACGAATTCAACTATCTTGAAATTCTTAATCCGGTAAGAAATATTCACTATATTTTATATACAGCTGATTCAATTAAGGTTGTCCTTCTGAAACCTTAAATTTTAAACTCCCAGCGCGCAGTAAGGGATGATGATGGGTTTTCACCATCAGGTCTTTAAGCTCAGAAATTGCCTTTGCAGCAAGTACAGGTATGTTTTACATATGTCTCAGGTGTTCTTGCAAAGTCAAAAGTAATCTTAGGTAGTCTTGGCCCGCCATATTCGACGCTGTCAAAACAAAGATGGCTGACTGAAGATTCGTGTTTAGTTGATCTTGACAGCTTTAATATCGAAGAAAATAATAGGACAATACAAAGCGAAAGACAGAAAGCGACCTGCCGCTATTCAAAGAAAAGTTGTTCTTTGTTTGTTGTTGATAAATTATATCTGTCAAGTTTATTTCTTAATAATGTTGCATTAGGCAAAGGGCAATGCTTATTTTTAAAATAAATTCTGACCCTGATAAGGGCACACCTATTTCATGAGAAACAGGGAAAATTATCATAATTGGGATATAGACAAATTTAGATTGAGGGCGCGGACATCAAAGGCGACGCGGTGAAAATGGCTTTGACGCCATTTTCACGTCGTCTTTGACGTCCGCCTCCTCGATCTAAATCTGTCTGATAACGACCTGACTGCCGACTCCTGTCTGTAATTTAGGCAGAAAAGTCCGAACTGTATGCATGAATTGCCGTGCATGCAGATGCAAATTTAGAGTAAATGAGAGTGACAAAAAGCAATTCTCTTCCTCTGCATCTTTCAATGCTAAATATAATAAAAATCTATTCCAAAGTGATCATCACCTAGATGATGAAATGCAATACTTATATGATATTCACACAGCATAAATACAGATGTTTCAAAACCTTTCCTGGCTGTTTTCATTGATATTTCTTGTTTATATTTTAAAAGTTGTTTCTTTTAAACCTGCGTACACGGTTGATGTTAGGCGTTGTACTTCCCAAAAAGCTTTCCCACCTCCTCCACCATTTTACCGAAATCTGGCAACAACAGAGTGCATACACAAGAGCTTACTCGAGTGGTGGAAGCTTATTAGAATGTACGGTAAATATTTTTTAAATTCGAAAAATGTTCCATTTTTAGAAACTCTCACCACCAATTTCCTTACCACCAATTTCTTGCAAAGATATTCTGACAAAATCTGCAGGGGCTACAAGTGGACTTTATGATATCTCTGTCGATAACAAAATGGTGACAGTATACTGTGAAATGGTTCTTCATGGTGGAGGCTTCACCTTTATACCCAAGTCGGCTGTCAAGGAGGGAACCCTACCCAACCTTGTATCGCAACTTTTCACAAACCATTCTCAAGTTCTTCTGTACATTCAAAAGAAAGATGGAAGTCAGACGTACACCCATATCCAACAACTGGGAGAGCAATCGCAAACTCCTTTAGTAGTCTTGCAGAATACAAACTCAGGTTAGTTTGTATAATTATGATTATGAAAGCTACATTGCTAATGATGTTAGTTGCATGGTGCCGACGACCGATTAGGAAATGAAAATGGTTGCTGTAGAGGTGTGCAAAAAGGGTAGTGCTTTGTGATGGCTGTTGTGGTCGCAGTATGCGTTTGTAAGTGTCCAATAAAAAAAATGATAACAAACACTTTGTTTGGGAAAGCAAATTGTTTGTTTCCCAGTAGTTAGATTGCGTCCATTTTTATGGTATAAGGATTGGTGTTGGTGGTTACGGATATGAATATTACATAGCTATATACCACACTCCCTATCAGGGTTTTTCAGTGACTTGTTACATTGTGAATAGATAGACAGAACCGGAACTAACGTGAATCAGAATGGAATTAGTGTTATGATGATAGTGGCAGTGTAAGTTTGTAAGATCAGTGTTGCTAATAATTTAATTTGATTTATTAACTTTACCAGATTTAAACAAAATTAACACAAAAAATGGCATTGGCAATCGCAACAGTTTCTGCCAATTACTGCGATCCCTAAATGTTAGACAAATACACTATATACGTACATAGAAAATCAATTACTAACGAACTATCAGACTCAACTTTTCACACTGCGACCACTTCCATTTCCGGAAGCTGACTGAGTCAGAAGACGTTTGAAACCCGCACAATCGTAAACCTTCAAAAAACCCGTGGATAGGCCCCATAGGTACCAATGTGAAAGGTACTTCTGTAAACTAAATCTAAGAACAACACGTTATCGGTCTTGTCAGCTGGTCACGAACTTGGTTGCATTTTAAGCAAACCGATTTCCTTGTTCGTGGATCGTGAACGTCATAACTTAAGCCTGGTTCACATTGATCGGCGATGTTCTAGAAGAAGAAAATGCATAAAACAATTTTATGCATCAATGACCACCGACAATGGGCATCGCCGATGTTTACGATGAATGTGAACCAGGCTAGAGAGATAATAATATGAATGATAATAATTCATGAGTAATTAAACCAATAGCATGTAATCATTCCATCACAAGATGCTGTTTGGATACGGCGGTCAAACACCGTCAGACACAGCACCACGAGAATTTAGCTGCATACATAATTAAGATATTTGATGATAGTCACTAGTGTTTTCATCAAATATCTTAATTACGCATGCAAAATTACTTGAATAGAATTCCTAATTACGTTATGCTTGGTTAAGAATTCTATTCAAATCAGCAAGCAAAAACATTCTTTTACGTCTCGATTCATTTGAGAGGCCATATAAACCACGAGAGTTCGTGTTACACAGGGACATCCAATCACTCGATCGAAAACAATATATGAAAACACTCGTGCTTAGCGCTCATGTTTTCATACATTGTTTCCTCGTGTTTGGATATCCCGCTGAAACACTAGTCGCTCTCCTTGTTCATATATTACATGACTGATTTTTAAACTCCTTTAAGGTTGCCATGCCATTAATAGTTAAATCCCTGGCAGTGCGTTCCAGACTCTACTAGTCCTTATTAGATATGATTTTTGATAGGTAGATGTTTTACATGATGAAAACTGAAATTGTAGGCAGTTGGGATTTGTGGATCGGGTAGGTTGGCTTGAATTCTGAGGGTGTGGTAGTATGTCGCTGCTTAGGTTAATAATGTCATAGTGTGATTTGAGAAAGAACAATATGTCTAGGTACACGTGCCAGTAACACCATAGTTAATTGAGGAGATGGTTTGGAAACTTATTAACCTTACAATAAACCTCACTATCTATGTTTTTGTTCAGGTTTATGCAATAATGTGCTCTTTCATCGTCACGTGCGTATTGTATTTTTGCTCAACCAGCCAATAGCGACGGTTTTGTCCAATTGCCCATCCATGCCTTTAACAATAAGACATTTTGAACATTCCTATTGGTTGACTTGAGAAAAATACAATACACACGTGACGATGAAAGACCAGATTTTTGCATAAACCTGAACAACATAGATAATGAGGTTTATTGTGATTTTATTGTAATGCTAACGAGTTTCCAAACCATCTCCTCTATTAACTATGGTAACACAAAGGTAGTAGATTCAATGATGAGAGACGATGATTATAGCTGATTCCACACAAGAACGGTAGGTTCAATATGTAATTTGACGCACGTCTTTGAACGCGTTCTGTACGCTTAATGAGATCAACAGTTATGTGGAGTCCAGTAAACAATCCATGGATTATTTAGTGTCGCAACAAACAATCTCTGGATTGTTTATAAATAACCTATGGATTATTTATTCAGAATACAACGATTGTTTGCAAATAATGTATTACATAACTAAATCATTATTTAGTTAATTCGACATATTCTTGCTGATAACATTTTTTTTACATTTGGCGCCCCATAGAGTTTAAGCTACGCGTTATACGTCAAACGGCAAACGCCAGGCAACGAAAAATTTTACGTTATTCAGGCAATAAAGAGTAAAAGAACTTGCTGTTTGAAAACTGAAATGTTCAACGGCAATTTTGCCAAGAAATTTCGAACCTGCGTTTGCTGTTCGCAGAAACGTGAAGTTTAAACTCTCTATTGTTATTTGTGGCAAAAGGTTATTTTTCAAAACTTTACCAACCTTCAAACAAGTCGCGTACTATTAATAAATTGGCACAAAGATAATCAACGTTTGCAAACAACAAATCTAATGAGCTAGAAATGGCATATTTTAGAAAAATACAAACTTTGACGACTGACCGGTTGGATATGAAAACATGTTTGAGAGAGAATACCCAACTTCAAAGTATACGATTTTATTTGTTTCTTGACTTGACTGGTGATAAAATGCTAAAACGGGCGCTTCGAATTTTGATTAACAATCGCACTCCTGGTATTTGAAGTTTAACGTTTGCTGTGGAAGCATGTAATTTGATTACTTTGCCACTCCCCCTTGGGAAGCAAATTTTTGTAGAGTCACGTGATCAGACAATACCCGGATCTGTTCCAAGAAGACTCTGGGTACGAGGATGAAATTATAGTTGATATTAATTGAAATTTGTGCCGCGTAGTTTACCATCTAATGCTTGAAATGTTTCCTGAAAACGTTCAACAATATTTAGATATTAGCCATTCCGAAGTTGATGAGAGGACTAGGGACGAATGTTCAAAAGTGCCCAAATTAAGAAATGAACCAAATAACTTTAAAGACCACCACAAAATTAGTAAGTATACAAAGTTTGAAGACGTTTATATGAATATCCTTTGAATAATATGCTTCGAAAATCGTGATATTTCAACTGTGAAATGTATTGTAATTTTTGTTTTTGGGACCGCGTCCCCAAAACAATCTTTTAATTTATTAATCAGTAATTTCACAATTTTCGAAAGCTTATTATTCGAAAGGTATTTATGTAAACATCTTCAAACTTTGTTTACTTACTAATTTTGAGGTGGTCTTTTTAGTTCTTTGATTCATTTCTTAATTTGGGCACTTTTTAACACTCGTCCCCAGTCCTCTCATCAACTTCAGAATGGCTAATTCCATCGTAAAATGACGTGGTTGAGTTATCATCAGGAATTATGAAAGCTTATATTGTGAAAGCTACCTTAAACCACTATTAGTTTTACCTTTTAACAACCCGGGACTACTACATCAAATTGTTCCGAACAATACTGTAATTATTGATCATCTATGAACTGGTCGCTTCTATATAAAGAAGCATTGCATATCCACAGACAGAAACCTGAACTAAACCATGGGACTAAATTGTCAAAAGAACTTGCTATCTTTAATTAGGGCTTATGGACAGATAAGATCATGTTATATCACACCTGTGTATATTATAACTTCTAAAATTTTAGTAGCTTTCATAATTCCTGATGATGACTGAACAGTAGTCGAAACATTGAATAAAAAATATGAATTTCTTCGGAGTTTCCATTGTATTGTATTGTTGCTAAAGTAACGCGGACTTATTTTGAATTTAGTGATGTCATAATTTTCAACAAGATTGAAACGCCATCAGCACGCTGAAAAGACATCATGCGCGTGATAATGAGTTTCCTATCCAGTGTTTTTTATTATCCATGATAGTACCATGGTATATGGTGATTGTCGTAGTATTAATGGCAATATATGTGGTAATGGAGACTATAGTAGCTTGGGATAAGGGAAACGCAAATTTGGGATTATGAAGCATTGCATATTGGTAAAATTCCAATTCTCCCAAGCTTCTACACAAAACTTCTGGCTTACTAATATTATTTTCTTTATTAGGCCCGGGTAGAACTTACAACAGCCCTCAAAATTCGTTCATGTTGGACTATCTCTATCTGAGCACATGAATTTACATTAACGGATTCCTGTCCAACAATATCAAAGTGACATATAATCATAACTCTTTCCCCACCAACAGTTACTTTTCATTCTTTCCCAACCATCGTGAACAGAAGCCGAGTACGTATCACGACGGTAATCTGATGTACGAAGCCCGAAGGGTTGCCGTAGATTGGAGGAACACTGGAATGGTTTTAACAGAGAGAATACCTAGTAATTTCTTTTACTTGACTGAGGTGCATTACGGAGGAGGTGGTTGTTATACATCCAGTGATCGTTGGGTTGAGGCAAATGGAGCAGCAATTGGACTACGTTAAAATAAACTTCCCCTTCAAGCCGTATTTATAATATAACATTTATAGCACGCAAACGAAGATCGGTTGAAAAGCGTGTTACTATTACTGCATGAAAACACGGGAAAATGTCATCTCGCAGCTTAATATGTTTTAAAACGTAAACAAAACAATTTTATGCTTGATACTGTACATGCAGTTTTTTAAAAATGGAAAATTTACTATTTAGATCCGTATTCTTGGACTGGCCTTTCAGGGGGGGGGGGGGGGGGGATGCAATTTGTCCCGGGCACCAAGTTGAAGGGCCCCAAAAATTGCAAAAGGGGTGCCACAAAAGGTGTAATTAAAAATTTTGTTTTTCCGAAAAATTTTTTTGTCCCAAGCCCTGGAATTTCTTTGATAGACCCTGTTCTTGGACAATTAATTGTATAGACCTTATTCATAAATTGTGATCGAGGCCTCGTATCCTAGGATACGGGGAAAAAAGCTGGAAAATTGCCAAAATGTTTTTTGCTGTCGGCCATGGCAGCTTTTTTTCGAAAATATTACGGATATTTTCGAAAATATTATCTATAAAACTGAGGTTGAAATTTGCAATAATACATCTGAGAAAATATAACATGATATTTAACGCAAAAGTTGCTGGAATCAATCGGAAAATAAAACCTTTGTATTGTTATAGTTTATATGGCTAAAACGAACAACCGACGATGCTACAAAACGTCTACAACACCAAAATCGTGTAAGAAATATGAAACTATTGTTGAAGAAATAAGATTACAAGCATAAACTAGTAAGCCGTTTGCAGAATGTCATCGAGCCACAGGCATAGTTCATATTTTCCCGTACGAATCAATAACATTTGACGTTGTGATTATGCCCTTTTGTTTTCATCATATTTAATGCCAAATTCCAAAAATTATACTTTTATTCCATAGTTGTCTTGATTTTTCACGGAATAACCTATATATTGACGTTAAAATCTCAGTAAAATATTGCTTTGGCTTCTGGATAAACACCATCGCTATACATTGTCGTATTTGCCATAAAAAAAACGGAGAAAAATTTATCTTTATTATAATACACTCGTTTACAGCTTTCGTTGTGGGCACAATGTCTTAAAATACACACAAATTAAAAATCGTTATAAATCGAAATAAGCAACAAGAAACAAGCCTTAAAGTCGACCAAATAATATCGGATTTTCGCTTGTTAAAGCAGTTTTCGCTTGTTCTCCCGCGTTTATTCCCGTTTCCTAGAATACGAGGCACGCCGTGCATGATTGCGATTTATGCATGAATAAGGCCTATGAATAGCAGGAAAACAAAGAGTGCCTTACTTAATTAAGTAAAACAACCTCTAAAGAGTTTGAATTCTAGACCTTATTCATAAATCGTGATGAGGCCTCGTATCCTAGGAAACGGGAACAAAACGCGGGAAAATTGACAAAATGTTTTTTTTGCTGTCGGCTATGGCAGCTTTTTTTCGTGAATATTACGGCTTTTTTCGAAAATAATATCTATAAAACTGAGCGTGAAAGTTGAAAAAATACTTCTGAGAAAATATAACATGATATTTAAAGCTAAAGATGCTGGAGTCATTCGAAAAAGGAAACCTTTGACTTTGTATTATTGTCGTAGTTTGTATGGGCAAAACAAACAACCAACAAGGCTACAAAAACGTCTATACAACACCAAAATCGTACGAAATATGAAACTATTGTTGAAGAAATAAGATTACAACTCACTCAGGTAATGTAGCCTTCATTTTTTAAACTTGTAAGCTGCTTGCAGAATGTTATCGAGCCACAGCCATAGTTCATATTTTTCCGTACGAATCAATAACATTTGACATTCTCTTGTGATTTTTTACTGTTATTTTCTTTCATATTTATGTCAAATTCGAAAAATTATACTTCCATTCCATAGTTGTCTTGATTTTTCACGGAATAACCTTTATATTGACGATAAAATCTCAGTAAAATACTGTTTTTCGCTTCTGGATAAACACCATCGCTACGTTGTCATTTTTTCCACACAAAAACGGGAGAAAAACCGGTCGCTTTTATAATATACCCGTTTATCGCTTTCGTTGTGGGCACAAAGTCTTGAAATACACACAAAAATCGTTATAAATCGCAAAAAGCAACAAGAAACAAGCCGTTAAAGTCAACACAATAGCATCTGAATTTGGCTTGTCAAGCAGTTTTCGCTTGTTTTCCCGCGTTTTGTTCCCGTATCCTAGGATACGAGGCCTCGTCACGATTTATGAATAAGGTCTCTAGCACAAAAGTTACAGAACTACCGTTGCTATGGCGACGATGACGTTGGGATAAGGTGGATATTTTGACTTTAGAACAAAAACCTTGAAAACGACATCGATAACCCGCAAATTTTATTTCAAGAAAATGATTTCTCTTGGTAAATGCAATTATCTTGACAATTTTACAAAAATCTGTTAATCCATAAAACAATTATGCCATTTAATAAGTTCTTTGTACGTTTGCATTGCGATAAAACATATAATAGTTTTGTTTGTGGAAACACCACGTAAATTTATTACTGCAAATTATGCAATTATTAATTATAATAATTTTCTTTTTAGTAACGACCAGAAGGCTTTTTTTAAAAAAAATTAATAAATTGTAACAACGTTTCGGAGTTTACTCCATCATCAGGTTACATTTATACGCACGTATAAATGATGATGGAGTAAACTGATAAATGGAGTTTATGATGGAGTAAACTCCGAAACGTTGTTACAATTTATTAAATTTTTTTTAAAAAAAGCCTTCTGGTCGTTACTAAAAAGAAAATTATTACATTTAAATGAGGCTTAGAGAAAGTTCGCTTCTAATCACATTGTTATAATTTCTATGGTTTGATGGCTCGTGTAACACTTGCTGGTTCGCGCCTGCGCATAAAACTCACGGACATAATTTTGGCTCAGTGAGACTTCTGGTCGTACTTTCTATTCTGTGCTAATAATATGACTTGTTTAATTTACACGCTCTTTTATATACAAGAGTGTCGTGATCTGTTGGCTCGCGCCATTTGAAATTTAATTAAACGGCACATCAACCACGTCATTTCAAACGTAATGAAGTGATTCCAATTAACGCGTGCGCATCCAAGACAAGAGAAATTAATTTTGCACATTAAAGAGAGCACGCCACGTACTATCTAGTGGCTTTCCCTCCTGATCAATAGTATTGTGCTTCTCAATTTCAATTGACTCTCTCATTTTGCGAGAGAACTTATGACTATCAATCGCCAAAATAGTTGCTTCATCCTAAGCTTTGCATTAATAAATTTACGTGGTGTTTCCACATGTCAAACAAAAAGTGTTATAATGCGGACAAAGTAATTAATATAATTATTTAGTTTAATTTGACAGAGACTTTGCAAAATTGGTTCTTCAACATTTTTTTAAAATAACAGTTATTCAGCTTTCATTCAAGGGCTTTCAGAGTTTCCCTCATGACCTCCTAACAATTTTTTCAATTTCCTGCTGTACATACATTCAGTATTAAGTAATGTGTCAACATCTTGGAAACAAACTTCTGGATCTTTTTTATGCAGTTGACATTATTTTTATAGTGAAAGATTTCTTAAGGTTTAATTACTCACCATAGGCACAGTAGGAAAGTTTTGAAATTTAAAATTGAGGAGCACTTCATGTCAACAGCACCAAATTTATAATTTTGAAAGGCGGGGGGAGGTGCATGCAAGAGTCAAGTATGGGGGGGAGTGGATATAGATCGCTTATGTGGAAATTCCCCCTCCCCAGTCAGGGAAGTGCAGTATACTGGGAAGAATTATGTTTTGTAGTGCTGGTAAATGCACTGTTACGGACAATGAATTCTGAACAATTTTAAAACCCAAAAATTCAACTTTTTCATGTGTGAGTATACGTTGAACATACAAAACAATAATTTTACTGTTTGAAAGATTATAACCCCTCGGGATACTAAGATTAAGGTGGGGGTGGGGGTCGGCATGGGGTTGATGCACATCATCTCAGGACAATGAATTCTGAACAATTTTGAATTACGGACAATGAATTCTGAACAATTTTAAAACCCAAAAATTCAACTTTTTCATGTGTGAGTATACGTTGAACATACAAAACAATAATTTTGCTGTTTGAAAGATTATAACCCCTCGGGATACTAAGATTAAGGTGGGGGTGGGGGTGGCATGGGGTTGATGCACATAATATCTCAGGTTTTTATGCTCATTCTCTTGGTTTAAATGTACCAATTCTAATGTGAATTTACATGGTTTGAATTGATTTACATGGTTGCATTTATGCATGTAGTGAACATATATAATTATGTAAGCTATACAGTTGTCCAAAGTAATTACTTTGCAATTATACTAGTCGACCCATCGAGATCCAGCACTCTCCCTTGATGAGCAAAATTGTCTGGCATTAGACGCATGCAGTAAGATAGTAAAGTACATTAGATAGTCTGATTAATCCGTTGAGCAGTAGCACTCTCACATTGACACATTTGAAAGAACTAAACAAGACTTACATTATGAAACAAGATTATGAAACAACTAAACAAGACAGCTTATAATTTCAGTGTATCTTTAATTCTATTGATTCCCTTTTTTATGATATTGAATTTTTTAAATAAAAAAGAAAGCAAAGTTATTTGCAAGCGAGAACTTTAAATCGCTTTATTGCAAAAGTTTATCGATAAAGCCATTTTAAAAGGCAGTTTACTTTTATAAAGAACACTAGTGACTTTAAAACGTTTTGCGAAGCGTTTGTGGTTGAATTTTACCTTAAATTGAGGCTTATATTACGTATAATAACATACCTAACATATATATGTTGGGAAATTAATAATTTTGTAACATACCTTAAAACTCGAGTGACCCGCTTTTGGCACATTGCATCAAACTAGAAAACATCGTGTAGACTACATTACAAATGTTATTAGGACGCGCAAGGAAATGGCAACGTAGACATAACAAATGGGGATCCGAGGTGATTCTCCCATGCACACTCCTCTTTGTTTCATAATCAAATGAGTTACATCCTTACCAATTTCCGTAAGTTTTTTGTTTCATTTAGGCTCAGGCTGCCTAATAAAAGTGTGACACCTGAAACAAAATAAATAATTAAAAACCAGTGGTTAGTTCATACGCTTTTCACCTACTGTATATAGAGTTAGGCTTCTGTAACATCTAACCGTCTGATTATAATTTCACCTGGATCACACACAATAAGAGTGCTATTAACTCCCCGAGTATTTTGATTCAAGTAAAATATGCATGTACCTACAATAACTTTGAGTAAATTTAAGGAAATATTAACTTGAATTAGCCGACTAGTTCTTTGGATTCTTTGTGGGTGAATTATTTCACTCAAGTTTTTCACTCAAAATATTCAGGGACTTTTGCGGTTTTTTCACGTACTCCGTTTTCTCATTGACCCTTACAGGACCTCTGGGTAGGACAGTTCAAAACTGTACAGCTATCCAAAATAAATATATAGTTTAAGATTCCTCATCTTGTAACACGGAATTAATGAGAGATAATCTTACTGGATCTCTAGATAAAACAGCTTATAACTAATAGAGCTAACCACTTAACCATTATTTAAAAAGTTAGTTTTGGTTTCCTCCTGTAGTAACACTTGATCAATAAGAGATAATCTTTACTGGACCTCTAGGGAGAACAGTTTAGAACTGATACAGCTATCCAGTATGATTAAAGTTAGTTTGGTTTAGGTTTCTTCTTGTAGTAACACTGGATCAATAAGAGATGATCCTTACTGGAACTCTAGAAAGAACAGTTCAGAACTGATAGAGCCATCCAGTATAAATAAAGTGAATTTGAACAACCAAATTGTATTTGATTGAGCATGCATGCCTACCGTATATTGTTACCCAGTGAAACTGACGATAGTCCATCTAATTTGCGCAAAAAGCATATGCTCAAAGACTCAGTTCAGCCATATAATAAACCGATTATTGACCTCGCTTGGTCGGTTCTGTTCCTGAAATATCAGACCTCTGTTTTGCGCATGAACGTCGCTCCTTCGTCGCTCGGTCCATACTAAAAAGCGTCGGTCTGATATTCACAGTACCGATCAAGCAAAGTGAATAAGCCGTTAATATCATTTTAGTCAATTTAATCGATTCTGATTAGTGAAAAACCGTGCCGATTAAACATTAAACGGCACAGTGTGCATATTAAAGTCAATATATAGACAAGAAATCGGCTGGGGCCACAAGGGTTTATTTTGATGACCTAACTAACACACCTATAAGCAAAGACACGGCATCGGTTGCTGATACCTCAACGCTCAAGGAACTTGACGATTTTATTGACAATTCATTTTATAATGCGACCGCCTTGCCGAGGGAGGACTGTACTAGAAATTTCGCCCAAGAAATCGGTAATTCTACTCCATATCAGAAGTGTGTTAATGATAATTCGGTTACAATGGAGGCACTTTTTTTCATTTTTAAAGAAAAGATCGAATCGGAAATGGTAAATTTGTTAGAAAATCTTTCTGAACAAGTTAAAATTATAAATACAAGTAAACAAGATTTATGCAGATTGAATAGAGAGAACTTGACCTTAAAGTCACGAATTTGCGAACTGGAGGGGAAAGTTTTTTCTATTGAAAAGTCTCATGGGAATAGAAACAAAAGCAATAATAGTGAAATGGTTAAAGAAAATCCAGTCAATTCAGTTATAAACGACTGCAAATCACTTAAGGAAGTCTATACTACAGGGTGTCCCAAATAAAAGTGACACTATACTGGGTCTCTCAAAAAAACCGCTACCCTTACAAATTCACCATTGTTCTAATTTGAATGCCTGAACCTTGTTGAAGCCATGAATTAGTAATATAACTTTATATATTTTTATCGAAACATTTTTAACACGTAGTTATAGTTTTTGGATCAGCCCATTTGTTTCGCCAATTTGAACCTTTGTTAATAACTCTCTTTTTTTAACATAACTAGCTCTATTGAAACTTTTATAATACTAATTTAGATAGTTCAGTAACCGATGTATATCTTCTATATATATGTAATGCGCGTTCTAATTTAGTTACCTACTGTTAGCTATTCAATGTGCAATCTTTCTATAATAATAATAATAAAAGGATGCATATATTAAAGATCTTCGGAATTAAAATATCCTTGAAAAGCGAAATTGTTTATCCTGAGAATTGAAAGTAGGTTCATACAAAAGTATAACTGCACGAAAATCGTTCAATTACATATTAGTGAATGTTAAGCAAATGGCTCAACTGAGCACAAAGCAAAGAGTATTTCAAGCATAAAATTCCATTCAAATTGTTCATGCACCCATAACACTCAGGCATTCAAATTAGAACAATGGTGAATTTCCAAGGTAGCGGTTTTTTTGAGACACCCTGTAGATATCATCTCATCGTTCTTAAGCCGCTCTTAAACGCGTGTGATTACACGCCTGGGAATTTAATGAACTTGTATTTACATTTAAGCATTTCGCTTTGTCCAAATATTTTAACGCCCGAGTCAAGCAAAACGATTACACTAACACACGGTTTGCTTTTTTATTTTAAATTCCAGAAGCAGAAGTTTATGCACCTGTGGGATCAACTTAGTGCTAGGGCATTCAAATGACACCTCGCATAGGCTATCATGTGGGGAGACAAAATTTTATAAATATTCCAACCGAGAAAATAGCTATAGGGATAGGCCACAGAATTTCTTATCGTAACCGTCGTCACAGACCTAAGCAAAATATGCGGAACGCATCTAACTCAATAAGAGTAAGGCGGTGTAACCCTGTTGAAACGAACAAAGTTATGAAACCCATGCTCCCAAAATTGGCTTTAATAAACG